TTTCCCTGTATTTTCTTTCTCTCAATTCTAATGATGAACTGGTTGAAATTAAGTGAAATTAAGTAAAAAAAAAAAAAAAAAAAAAAAAACATACTGTTTATGCTTTTTTAAAAGGTGTCAATGGTGTTGGGCAGTTCTAATTAGTTTCAAAGACTTATAACTAGGAGAACTAGAAACATAGGCCACCAATATTCTTGGTGATGTATTTCTCAGACAAGTCTTCCTGAATCAGAGAACACACCAGGCTGTTAACAAGCATCCAAGCCAAAGAGTGTTCTCTTTATTAAGCACCTTATGTTAATTAAGTAAAATAATGTACATCAATCTAGAAATGAATATGAGGAAGCATGAGGATAGGGTAGAAATACTATTATCTAAATAAATCCAAAGAAAGATCAAGATGAGGCTGTCCATGGTACCCTCTAAGTATGTAATAATGGTTATAATGAAGTAACAGTTGTAAAAATATCTATGAATTGCAGCTTTATAAACCTGAACGTTTCACTGGTATCTCTTCAATTACTGTAATATCCATGTAAGATAATCAAGAGCAAGTAGTACCAGTCCTTGGGTAAAACTGAAGGATAAGAAAGGGAATGAAATAACCTATAAACACTTTAAAAAAAAAAAAAGAAGAGGAAGAAGAAAGAAAAGGAGAAAAAAATCTGTCATCAGAACTAGAGCAAGGAACTTAGACTCTTGCTCCGTCAACACTCTCTTACTAGATGCTATCACTACTTCACTGTTTGGAATCGAAGACCTTTCCCACACCAGGCCCATTTATTTTTCAATCTCTTGTAAATAAGTCCTTTGTTTAAAATGACACACCTGTCATATTTCATATCGCTGTTATTCCAATCACTGTGCTAAATATGATGCCATGAAACTACTAGGCTTAAGCTTCATCCCCCAGAGATAACTTTAATAGTAGCTCTAAGGTAATGTGAGTTATAAAGGAAGTTGGGTATTAATTATAACACTTGCCATTTATAAAAAAAACAACTTGGTGGCATGTGTAATTTTACCTCATTTTCTCACTTGCTACTGTTATTTAAATTACTTCCCAGCACTAAGCATGTGTATAAAAGATGATTGTTCCAAATTTAACCTTTTAAATAAAATGTATTCTATTAATTAAGTCATTACAGTTCCCTCTCTTTTCCATTATGTTTATTCATTTATCTTCTGTCCTAAAGATAGACATCTGTGTTAGTGAATATTTTGGAGAAAGGCCTCTAATTTTTATGCCTATCACCCATTTCGATTTCCTACAATGTTTTTAAAATAGTTTATATTAGTGTTCGAGAGAATTTCAAGTTGTCAATTAAAATAATGATAAGTATAAGAAGTAATAGACATTATTCAGCCAAAGAGTTAAGAAGCTGATTTGTTAAGCCTAATTTGGCCCAGAAATTTACAAGTGCTTAAATCAGCTTAGGTTTTTTCTTTTTTTTTTTTTTTTTTTGAAATGGGGTCTCACTCTGTTGCCAGGGCTGGAGTTCAGTGGTGTGATCTTGGCTGACTGCAACCTCTGCCTCAGGTTCAAGCGATTCTCCTGCCTCAGCCCCCAAATAGGTGGGATTATAGGCATCCATCACTATGTCCAGCTAATTTTTTGTATTTTTAGTAGAGATGGGGTTTCACCCTGTTGGCCAGGCTGCTCTCAAACTCCTGACCTTGTGATTTTCCCACCTCGGCTTCCCAAAGTGCCGGGATTATAGGTGTGAGCCACCGCGCCCAGCCAATCAGCTTAGATATTTTTAAAAAGATAAAAACTAAACAGCAAAAGCCTTACCTTTATATGAATCCCTTCTTCTGAATAACTGTACATAATGAAACCGTACAGTCTCCTGTACTTTTGTTGCCTTTCTTCCACTGCAGGTGCTTTAGGAGCCAGGTAAACTGCTAGCTCATATCTGTTGCAGACGTGGAATTATCCATGCAGTAACAATGTAAAAGTACCTAGTGCCCTGCTGAAACATAGTATGCTCTCGATTATTTTCTCTCTTTAGTTCTTTACAAGCTTGAGCAAATTAAATCATGAACCCCACAACCGTCATCAAACACACCACCTTTACCACTCTCACAGCTTCCATTTATCAAATGTTTTCATTTATTGAGAATTATGTATCTGTAACTGTGCAAAATGCTTTTGTACATTTTTTTCATTTAGTTGCCACAACTCTCTGTGTACTGTTTTTTTCCTCATTTCTCATAATGGGAAAACTAAAGCTAAAAAGAGCTCAGTGGTCGGGCATGGTGGCTCATGCCTGTAATCCCAGCACTTTGGGAGGCTGAGGCAGGAGGATCACCTGACGGTAGGACCAGCCAGACCAACATGGAGAAACCTTGTCTCTACTAAAAATACAAAATTAGCCAGGTGTGGTGGCACATGCCTGTAATCCCAGCCCCTTGGGAGCTTGAGGCAGAAGAATGGCTTGAACCTGAGAGGTGGAGGTTGCAGTGAGCCGAGATTGTGCCATCATGCCATTGTACTCCAGCCTCGGCAATGAAAGTGTAACCCCATCTCAAAAAAAAAAAAAAAAGAGCTTGTAACTTACCTAGTAATGCTGGCATTCAACCCACGTCTGTCTTATTACTAGCTATGATGTTAGTCTCTCTATTTTGTTTCCCATAAATCATGATGACAGTAGTTCATATTTATTAGGCACTTACTCTATGGTCTTCTGAGTACCTTGCATATATTTATTTGCACATCTAATCATCACTACAAACCCATGGGGTAAGCAATATTATCCTTTTATGATGAGACAGGAGCAGAAAGTTAAAATGATTTGTACAAAATTATTGTTTCCAAACAAGGATTCCAGTTCAGAAAGATTATTCCTTATCTGTGGAATGAGAATGGATATTTTAGCTTGAACCAATCAGAATCATCAATTTCAAAACATGTTAAACAAAACCGTAGCTAACATTTATTGAGATTGGTCACCACAGAAAGAGAGCTATTAATAGCATATATTCAAATAAAGAGGGTAGTTTTCTAGCATGTAGTTGTTTGTGTTATATTCCTACTACCGATCATTCTTTGGGTTTCTCAGGTAGTGACTCTCCTGTGACACTTATCACAAGTGAAATGGAGTGGTTAAGAGTGCCATGTTTAAGTTCAGGCTTCTTCATTTACAAGACTTATGTCAGTTTCTTTATCTGTAACATCAGGCTAGTAATAATAATACTTATCTTTCCAGGTCATTGTGAGAATTGAATGAATGAACAGATACAAAATGCATAGCATAGAACGTGCATATTACAAGTTCTCAGTAAATTTTAGCTGCTATTGTTATTTTTAATCATTATCATTTTTTCTAATATTTTTCTACTTATACTGTAGATTGAGTCTATGTAAGTGTTTTTAGACCTGAGAAAGACAGATTTTGGCTCACAACTGGTACCTTATAAATACTTACCTCTCAAACAGAAATAAAACAATAAGTCTAACAATATTTTTAAGCAGTTGGAAACAGAATAATCACAGATATATAGTGCTTTTATCTAGAAAATAAAGAAATAGCTTAGAAAAGGAGGGCCAAGTGGGAGTGGGAAGATTATGTATAGTAACTGGGTCAATCAAGATTGAATGTTGTGGGCAGAGAAAAGAAGGGACATGTTACTCTGAGATCAATCTAGTTTTAGGCAAAACGGAAGAGAACCTCCTTGTTAGCAAATTTCCCCTCACCCTGCTTCAACCCTTGAGAACCGAGTTTTATGTACTAACAGTTTTATGTACTAACACAGCTGGTCTCAAATGCATGGCGTCGCTTCCTCAAGCGCCAGGACAACTGACCTGAGCCACCACGGCTCCCCTTTTTTTGGGGGGGGCGGTCTTGTTTGTTTCTTAAATGTTTGGTAGAATTCACCAGTGCAGCCATCTGGGCCTAGAGTTTTGTTTGTGGGAAAGTTTTACTTATAAACACATTTTTTTCAAAAAGCTACTATGGGGCTACTCATATTATCTAATTCTTCCTGTATAGGCTTCAGTAATTTGTGTCTTTTAAAAATGAATCCATTTCACCAGAGCTCTGTTAATCTAGAGGTAGTTTTTCTCCACTGCTGAGGCAAGATCCGTCTTCGTATTCTGACAGATGCCCCTCAGTTATGAAATTTTCCACTCTGGTTCTTGGAAATAGGCACTATTCCCAGCCTGATGTGAACTTTGGATGCTGTTCTCTTTCCAGTTTGGGGTGAACTCTTGGGGCAATTTTCTTAACACACATGAGATTGTCAGTATTCAACTAAATATATGAGATTTTCTGAAGATAGAATTGCTCTTTCCTCTCTGGTTCTCCACTCTGCATCTCTCTCTGCCTTGGTTCCCAGGGATGCCCAGCACCGTGTCCTTGAGCTGGGGACATCACTGGGTTCTGTATGGGTGTTGTCTTTCCTGCACAGCTGCCTGGAGGCTTTCTTCAGAGAATATGCTGGGGCGGTTGTAGAGTTCACATCATTTGTCTTCCATCTCTTGGGGTCACTGCCTTTTGTTGCCTAATGTCGAATCTCTTGACTGCCATTGTTTCTTGTTTTGTCTAGTTTGTAAAATTGTTTCAGGGAGATTACAAATCTGCTCCCTTTTACTCCATCCTGACTAGATACAGAAGCCTAATTCTTAAGTATTTAATATACACACAGACACACATATGTATTACTGTTATGCTGAAAGAATTTCAATATATTATACATCTATATATACACATCCACATGGAAGCAACAACCCAGTTAAAATAACTGAAAGTACTGAAAATTAAAAGAAAATGAAGTTATATTCATAAAAGATCATATAAACATGTATTTATTCATAGCTGTCTTCAAGATATCTACCAATAAAAGTGAGGTACCCCAGGGTAGGCTGGGAGAAGCAGTATTTCTCAAATCTCTGCCAGTAAAAGATTTAACTGATTATGAATCTGTATTAATTTATTGTTTAAAAATTGTCTGATTTACAAGCAGGTCTGATCTTTGTCTGTTTTATTTCTTTTCTTCAGTGCCAGATGAAAGTAAGATTCACTCACTGGCTGGACACAAATCGGGTAAGAAATTCCTTGTAACTGACTTTATATTTCCCTTCCTGGAAATCACTGGCTGTGTTTTAGTAGCAGTTGGAACCTGTTTCTATCCACTAGTCATTGAAAGGCTTTCTAATTAATACATGAGATGTCTCTGACTTCCACAAAGATGAATTACTGCTTGGCTGTGTGTATGGTGGCATAATGTATGCTGACTCAGTATGTTTTGGAGGAAAGAATAAAGATTTCCAAAAAAATAGATAAAACCAAAAACCTTAAACCTGTACTCCAGCTGAACACTTAAAAAAAATTTCAAGAAAACCCAAGAAAGCTCAAGATTCTTTCCTATGATGACTTTCACATTAAAGTGACAGGACAAAGAATTCCAGAATAAGAAAGATGTGGTCATTTTTTTCTCCTCAAAAAAGAATAGGATTTTTTCCTTTTTTTTTCTTCATGTCATCAAAATGGATCGTTCTAAGGATATATCCATTTTTTTTTAAGAGACATGAATTAGCTCCTTATATATTCTCTAGAAAGTCTACAAAAGTTTCTCAGGGTCTCTTAGGTCTTTATCATGTGTGAGTTACCTTCACTTCTAAAATCAAGCTATTTCTTCATTGGCAAGTAGACTGCCTTCTGTTCCTTTTTCCTTCCTCCATACCATTTATTCACATTAGTGGAAAACATTTAAAGCTATTAAGCTGCAAATAGTGGAGTAATCCCTTTCCTCTAGGGGCACATTATTTTGGAGGGGAAAACGTCCATTTTGCTCTTAGCATTGCCCCTCCAAACAACAGAAGGATTGTGATTTGCTGTCATCCCTCCATTGGCAAAACAAAGAAGTCTTTCCTATCACCAAGTGTCTCCTGTGTTTATGTGCCAATTATGTTTTCACCAGTAAGTGGCCTTGATGCCTCATTACCTCCATCATGTTCCAGGGTAAGATTATTATTATTTTTTCTTCTTTCTTCAGATTCTCTTGTGATAACAACAGGGAAGGTATGGTTCACAACTCTTAGATTTCTTTTTCTTGTGTCTCCTAATAAAGACCCTAAGAGGTTAGATCACTGTGAGGAAGAGATTTCTGTGGGAGTGGTAAATTGCCACATGTTGCTTGTTTCCAACATCCTCTTCCACTAAATTCTCTATTACTGAACATATTCTAGAAGCCTCAGAAGGAAGTTCTTATGACCAGGGAACCCCAAGGATAGTCTATAATATCTTCATCTTAAATGCATGTTAATGCTTGAACTTCTCTTACACATATTAATATAATATCTGAAGATGAAAAGCCTTTCACCTATGTACTGGGATAGGATTCAAGGCAAAAAGTTGAAGCCCTTTTTCAGAATGTTTATCAATTTGGTTTTTGAAAATGAGCAAACAACAAACTTTCTGGCTTTTTCCAGGAAATCAAATCTTATTCTAATCTTAATTTCCAAGCCCACTGCTATTAGCTGGCAATTAAAAGTTTGTCACTCTTTGAGAACTTTGTCATCTTTGTATATTGCCATAATATTTTATGTAACTTTGAATGATCTGTCTTTGCATAGTGTGATATAAAAACATTAATAAAGAACTATGCTAAGTGAAAAGCTTGAAATAATAACTTTCCAAAAAAGTTTTAGTCAAAAATGGCAGAATTTTAAAGCCTGTCATGCAGGTTCATTGTAAATTCCATATAGCAACTTTACTTTAGCTGATAGAAATGGTTCCAGCAGTCTTTAAGTCACATGAACCACACTGTTTAAATATATCTGATATTTTAAAGAATATTTCTGTTACTAATGTACGGTTATTCCAACATGCAATATTCTTACATTTTTAAATACTATTATAACATATCACTACACCAGGTTTTTCACTAGGCATCTGTTGAAATGCTGAAAAATAACCAGACACTTGATAACTTTGGAGCAAAAGTGGTCTGCAATGAAGAGCGCTAAACAATCACCGAAAATCACATACTTTAGAGTCGCGTTAAATGAGAGCATCCTGTAAAACATTAGAAACAGTTCTGAAAAAGCACAGAGCAGCGTTAGAGGAAAATATTCAACTAAGGTTCAGTATATACACTCTAAGAATATACCCTTCCCCATTCTGTTTTGTTTTGTTTGTTTGTGTGTTTGTTTTTGAGACAGAATCTCCATCTGTCACCCACCCAGGCTGGAGTGTAGTGGCATGATTCACAGCTCACCACAGCCTGGACTTCCCTGACTCAGGTGATCCTTCCATCTCAGCTTCCCGGATAGCTGGGACTATAGGCGTGTGCCACCATGCCCAGCTAATATTTATTTATTTAGAAATAGGATTTCACCACGTTGCCCAGGCTAGCCTCAAACTCCTAGGCTCAAGCAATCCTCCCGCCTTAGCTTCCTAAAGTGCTCGAATTATAGATATGAGCCACAGAGCCTGGCTGCTCCCCTAGTTTTTTACATTTCTTTCTTTTGGAAAATTAGTCTTGAATTATAATGATTCTCAGGAACTCATCCCTCACATAAAACATAGCTCCCCTCTGTGTATTGCTTTTAGGTGAAGGGATGTCTCATTGGGATTTGTTGGTGGTGGTAGTGGTGGTAGGGGTAGCAGCAGCAGAGGTTTAAGGGTTCTCTTGATAGTAACAACTCTTTCAGTTACAAAATCATTTTTTAAATTATCTAATATATAACTACAATCTCAGTTGGCTACAGGTCATCTATGACCACTAAGGTTGTATTTTTACTTGTAAATCTCTACTTGCCTCACCATTGTTGAAAGGAATCATTTAACTTCTTTTTGTTACAATATTGTCTCCTTTCCCAAATTCTTTCTTCAGAATATTTAGGTTAAAAATATGATTTTTTTTTTTTTGCTAAGAAGAGTCTCTTGCTCTTTCTCTTTAACTATAGAAATGTGAGCAGATTTTATGCTATCCTAGACCAACAGGAAGTTAAACAAATTAAATTGTATATACTGACCTAAATCTATCATGTATCCTCTTATTCGAGATGACATTCAACATTTTAATAACTTCATCTGAATTAAAATTTCTCGAGTCAGCTACTTAGTTTGTAAAGAGCCATTTCATGCCAATTTCCATCTGTTGGTCCAGCTTGGGTACCTCCCACATTTGTGACAATATTTTTGGCACCCCTTTCCTTGGCTTAATTTTTAAATGGTTGATACTTCAGAGCTCAGATCCAATCAAAGGCCTGGGTAAAATATATCTTTCTAACATTTTTGGCCCAAAATGTAGTGTTCCCCTTACCCCTTCTAGAATTAATCCAGTATTCTGGAGACTTCTCCGATGACCTATTTCAGGAGCTTCCCCGAAAGGGCATTGCATCTCATTACCTTGGCAAGGAAGATAGCGGGATGATTCCCCTGTTTCTGAGTTGGTAAATCCTCCTCCACTTATGAGAGGTATTTAAGTCTATGGTATGGTAAGACCTTCCCAGAGAAGTTAAAAATAAAACGTCCTTTGTTTGGTTCCTTGAAGAAAAATCAAAAATTTCATATAGCCTTGAAAAACCAAAAATGTCTTTAACCTCTTTCCTTGTTTCACTAATTGAACTCTGACAAAATTCAAATTCTAGCAATGCCTGGAGCAAAAAACAAAAAACAAACAAAAAACCTGGAAAAATATGTGTTTTAAAAGCAACAACAACAACAACAACATTTTTAAATGATTTAAATATTCTGAGGGAACATTAGAATCCAGAGAAAATGACATCAAATTTATCACAGCTTTTTTTTATTATTATGCTTTAATTTTGGTTATACTCAGGGTCGTAAAGTATGTTTGAGAAGGAATTCTTTCTTATTTTCTTTCTGTCTACTAAACTGACACCTCAACCAATAGTTTAATGTTCTTTTACGTTCAGACAGAAAGGGCTTATAAATTTTACCTTTTTTAGTGTCTTTTTATTTTTATTTTTTTTGTTTTGATTTACTGCTTGGAACTGTTTTAATATGTATTGACTGCCTGCAGAGATCTTTGCTGACCCAGCTCTTTAAGATGATGCAGTACTGAAGAAAACCGATGAGTTCTTCTTTATGAGCTCTGACATATTAATTAGCAAAATGGACTAAAAAGCTTGGCTATTTCTGTTTTAATTTCTTATATTCTCAAACACCTGTCCATGTAGCTGTAAAACAGGCAAGTCTGTGAAAGTAATGGTTGGCAGCAAGTCCAGACCTTATCTGAGACAAGTTTATCAATTAATGAGCAAGTATTCATTAACAATCTAGGGGGCTTTTTCTATGTGAGGCCACTAAGTATGTTTGGTATCCTAACACAGTTTGATGAAGAAACGGGAGCTCGGGGAATTTAAATACTTGATCTCATCTGGGCATGTTGGCTTATGCCTGTAATCCCAGCACTTTGGGAGGCCAAGGTAGGCAGATCATTTAAGGATCACGAGGTCAAGATATTGAGACCATCTTGGCCAACATGGAGAAATTCCATCTCTACTAAAAATACAAAAATTTGCTGGACATGGTAGCCCATGCCTGTAATCCCAGCTACCCCGAAGGCAGAGGCAAGAGAATCACTTGAATGCGAGAGGTGGAGGTTGCAGTGAGCCAAGATCACACCACTGCAATCCAGCCTGGGTAACAGAGCATGACTCCATCTCAAAACAGCAACAACAACAGCAAAAATACTTGATCTCTCGGCTGGTAACTATTGGGGTTAGGATATGAACCCTAGTATTGTATAACACAGCTTATGTTTTGGGGCAATTTATATTCCACTAGCATGTGCCTTTCGCCCACATTCTGTAGACAGAGATTACAGGAGTAAGACACAGATCTTACATGGCATGTATGTATATATATATATATATATATATCGAGATATATGATACATCTTTACTTGGATTTTGTAACCTCAGCCAGCTGACCTAGGAACACAATAGCTATAATTTCTCTACCAAACTACTGTAGTTCCCTGAGTATGAGAGGGACATCTAATCTGATCATTCTTGCCTTTGTTTCCTTGCACGTATGTGTGTATGTGTGCACATATAGGAATGTGTGGGCCAAGTTGAGAGCTGTATCAGAGAGAAGATGTGCATTTGATGTGTATAAATTAAAGCAAAGGCACATGTGCAGGTGATGTTTATCTTTATAATAAATGCCAAGAGTTTAGTATGCAAGTTACTACTTCGGCAGGCCTTCTGATTTTCTCTAAATGCAATGTGTATAAACCTCAAACCTAGAATGTTCAAATGTGGCCTAAGAAATTTCTAGATCCTTGCAAAAGAACAGAGCTTTTAAAACCATAGGGTGATTGGATAGTCACTTTTAATACAAGAGCAATGAGTTATTAAATGACATTTCATAAATTGTGTGGAGTCTTATTCCAGACATTTATAGAATATTAAAACTGAAATGTGCATTTACATTTTGGAACACCAATTATGGCCATTTTAAAAATATTTGCATCTTCTAATTGGATTGCAAATTTTTATGACTTTTTATGGTTATTATTGATGAGGAGCTAAAATTTTCTAGTTAGTTGTTAGTGTACTTGAACTCTGTTTCTTTCCTCATTGACTCATTAAGATATGACAGCATGGTTCTCTCTTTGGACAAACATCTTTATTGGATACTTCCTAAGCTTTTCTTATTTGTTATATTAGATAAATATGGCTTTAGACACAAGAAATATATACATTTCTCACATGATACAGCCTTGGTTTTTATATTTCCAAGGGATTTAGGAAGTTGTCATAAAGAATTTAGCAATATGTCTAGAATTCTTCCTATATAAGATTGATTGTGAAATAACCGTGATATTCCCACATTTGCAAAAAAATTACTGAATAATGTCTCTAAAATGAATCAAACTGAATTAGAAACGAATGTATCAGTCTTTTTAATAAAATTATTTCATCCTCAAAAGTACAGCAGGTTTATGCATCTGTGAAATTCATGAATAAATAGAGAGACAACATATGTTTCCAAATCAAATTTCAAAATAAATTGTTTTGGCTCCACTCATGTTTATTAAATGCCCACTCTGAAACAGATATTGTGTTAAGTGCTAGAGATACTAAGTAAAATAAGACATGTTTTCAGCCTTATAAAGTGTTTACGATATGGTAGGGGAGAAAGAATATAAATGCCTAATTCAATATTTGTTTGATATCTTTGTGCTAAAGAGTTCAATGCAAAAACCTTATGGGAGAAATATTGCTTAATTCCATGTGGTATTGGGGATGGGTGTCAGGTTTCAGAGAGGGTGTTCTCCCACAGCACAATTTGAAAGCAAAATAGAAATTGGAGATATAGAAAATGTCAATGAGCAAACACATTTCAGGCAGATGGAAACTTCTGAGAACATGAAACATCATGGTATATTTAAGAAACTTCAAGCAATTCAGTGTGGCAGCAGTACAAAGGGAAAGTGACAAGATACCAAGTTGAGCCAAGTAGGCAGAGATTAGACCACGTAGACTCCCACCAAATGAAAGAGTGTCATTTTATCCTACTGGCTCAGGTAATCTAAACAGATTAAAGAAAAGAGGTCACTTTTATATCCTAGTAATATCAATCTTTTGGTTGTAGGAAACGGAAGGGACCAAAAAACAAAAAAGAGAGAAGCTATTGTAAAAGTTCAGATAAGAGATGATGTTGGCATGTCAGTGACTAACAATGGGAGGGAAAAGGAAAGTATGAACTATTTAGGCAATAAAGCCTTGAGTATTTTTTTTAAGTTAAACTTAGTAGGTGAGTAAAAAAGAGTATCTGACTTGATTGTCATTATACTTGTCAGCTATCACTACAACTATGCTGTATAATAAAACCAATAGGAAACATTTTTTTTTTATTGATCACATATCTCCAGATGTAATGGAATTTGCTGATAGTTTCAGTGTTTGGGTTTAGCTCCATCCTACAGGTTAGGACCAGCTTTTCTGCATGTGTCGACCAGCGATTTACTGAGGCATTTACTTTTTGGTAACAAGAGTGAGAAGATAGAGACAGGGTAGATAGACACTTAAGAGTGAAGAGTATTAACATGAAGGCTCTGGCTGCCCTCCATAAGGGAGGCCACAGAGCTGATGGAACTGATGGAGGAACTGCTGAGACTGTGGTTCAGTGCTGACACACCTATGGCCATACGCTTCATCTTGGCCTTGGCTGGGCTGGTAGGCGGGAAGCCAATATGAATCACTTTGTGGATGGCTGCGAAGAGACCAGACTTGGGTGGGCACTGGAAGTACCTGGGCAAGCAGTAGAGACTCATGCTGCTGTCATGGCCCCACAGCCTGGAGCCTCCCCTGCCTCCTCTACCTCTTCAGAGCCCAGCAGAAAGAGAGAGAGAAAGAGATGCCTCCTTGGGGTCCTATTACCCATATTCCAAGGTGGAAATCTCCCAGTTGGATAGATGATGAAGGTGGTAGAGGGCAAGAGTGAGTGGGATTAGACGGAAGAGTGACAGGCTAGCATGACTGTGCAGGAGCAGGATTCCATATGAGCAAAGTGCAGAAAGTGAAAATGAGAAATAAGGAGGAAGTGGGGTCTCCTCCTAACCCTGATCTTCATGATATGGATGTGAAAAGCTACAATTGAGAGAGCTGCTGAGAAAAAAGAATTTGTAGTGGAGAAAAACAATTCAGTTAAAGCAAAAAAAAAAAAAAAAAAAAAAAAAAAAAGGTGGTTTGAAAGAAAAGATCGAAAATGAACAGTATTGTCAACCGTGGAAAGATAGTTGGACTCAAGAAGGCAAGGGGGAAGGGTCTGGGATGGAGGGGAAAAGTAGGACAGCAAGTCACGTTAGAAGACACACAGAGTGGTATCATAAGGCCAGCAGCACAGGAAAGAGCAGGTGACTGGGTCTCATATCTTGGAAGTGACTGAGGTCAGCAGCAGTGATGAGGTTGCGTGAATGGCTTTGCAGTTGTCGAGAGACTTAGTCCTAACTTGGGTCGCTTTAGACTCAATGGTGGCCTGGATGAATTATTCCTTTTTTATTATTATACTTTAAGTTCTGGGCACCGTTTACAATAGAAAAGACTTGGAACCAACCTAAATGCCCATCAGTGATAGACTAGACAAAGGATTATTCCTTTTAAGGATTTCCAGTACCTGATGAATGAGGAGATCAAGAATTTGCAGGAGAAAATCATCCCAGGTTTATAGAAGATTGGAAAAGATGCCTAATTTTCAGTAGGAATGGGAGGTGAAACAAGCATAGATGATCTTTCTAGAAACTTAACATTAATAGAAAGGAGAGAGATATATCTAGAGGAAACAAGAAAAGTTGTTTTCATTGTTCTATTTTATGTTAATGAGAAACACTGAATCACGTTTATAGATTGAAAGAAAAGAGATATTTGTAAGAAGAAGAAGGATTAAGAAAGAAGAAATTGCTTAAGGAATTGGATTAAGAGTGTAGTTTTGTAGTAGTTAGCTTTGGTAAGGATGAGTGTTGGGTGTAGGGAAAGTGGTAGGGATGCCCATGTTATAGATAAATTTGTAGGTGGAAGGGAAATTAAAGATGTTAATGGTCTCAATTTTCTAGATGATGTCATATCTGCATATAATGACATTATAGGGTTGACAACAGTCTGCCAAAGAAAACAAGAAACGCAATAGATAATAAGTAACGCATACTGGAATATGTTCAAGTCACTGAATCAAAATTGGTTGGAAAATAATGAAAAAAAAATGTTTCACACACATACCCAGACACATCCATATACACTATAGTCAAGGGTCTGGTTGTGGATGAACTACAATTACTTTCAAAAGTAAGATGTATCTTACCTCTTAATTATATTTCCGGTTCTCTACTTACAGTGAAATTACAGAATATAAGGATTAAATGCAGTATTATGTATCTTTAGTACAACCAGACTACTTAAAAGAGTGGACTGAAGCCCAGAGAGAGGAAGTAACCCTCATCAAAGGCCGAGCTGCTGAGCAGCAGATCTGAGGCTCAGATCTATTGAATTCTGTTTTAAAAATCTCATACTTGTCTAATGACCAGTGATGATGACCATTTTTTCATATGTTTGTTGGCCTCATATATGTCATCTTTTGTAAAGTGTCTGTTCATATCCTTTGCCTACTTTTGAAAGGGCTTGTTTGATTTTTTCCTGTAAATCTGTTTTAGTTCTTTGCAGATTCTGGATACCAGACCTTTGTCAGTTGGGCAGATTGCAAAAATGTTTTCCCATTCTGTTGGTTGCCGGTTCACTCTAATGATTGTTTCTTTTGTGTGCAGAAGCTGTGGAGTTTGATTAGGTCCCATTTGTCTATTTTGGCTTTTGTTGCCAATGCTTTTGGTGCGTTTTTCATGAAGTCCTTGCCTCTGCCTATGTCCTGAAGGGTTTTGCCTATGTTTCCTTCTAGGGTTTTTATGGTCTTAGGTCTTATGTTTAAGTCTTTAATCCATCTGGAGTTAATTTTAGTGTAAGGTGTCAGGAAGGGGTCCAGTTTCTGCTCTCTGCACATGACTAGCCAGTTTTCCCAACACCATTTATTAAACAGGGACTCCTTTCCCTATTGCTTGTTTTTGTCAGGTTTGTCAAAGATCAGATGGTTGTAGATGTGTGGTATTGCCTCCAAGGCCTCTGTTCTGTTCCATTGGTCTATATCTCTGTTTTGGTACCAGTACCATGCTGTTTTGATTACTGTAGCCTTGTAGTATAATTTGAAGTTGGGTAGTTTGATGCCTCCTGCTTTGTTCTTTTTGCTTAGAACGGGCTCTCTTTTGGTTCCATATGAAGTTTAAGGTGTTTTTTTCCAGCTCTGTGAAGAAGGTCATTGATAGCTTGATGGGGATAGTGTTGAATCTGTAAATTACTTTGGACAGTATGGCCATTTTCACAATATTAATTCTTCCTAACCATGAACATGGAATGTTTCTCCCTCTGTTTGTACTCTCTCTTATTTTGTTGAGCAGTGGTTTGCAGTTCTCTTTGAAGAGGTCCTTTATGTTCCTTGTTAGTTGTATTCCTAGATATTTTATTCTCTTGGTAGTACTTGTGAATGGCACTTCATTCTTGATTTGCCTCTCTTTAAGTCTGTTATTGGTGTGTAGGAATGCTTGTGATTTTTGCACATTGATTTAGTATCCTGAGACTTTGCTGAAGTTGCTTATCAG